GAAATGTAATTTAATAAAGCTTTTTTCCCCTCAAAAATTAAATCTTATAATACTAGTAAATTTGCACAAATGCCCACATCTTCATGGTTTGCATGCAAATGACATGCAAAAGAGAACAACACTATAACTCAAATTCCGCTAAACACAAAATACATTAAAATATTTTATTTGTTAACCTCTGGGCAACATCTGCAACACAACTAAAATGCAAGGTAATGACATGCCTGTGAAAACTAACACCCAAGGGGAAAACCCCACACAAAATAGGCTAAGGCGAATATGGTGGATGCTAATTTTGCTGCTAAATGCTAAGCTAGCCTTAGCTCTGTTCGACTCACCGAGCGCCTCAACTCTCCTGTGTTTTTTCCCCCATACATGGTTGGCTACAGTCCATGCAGATCTAGTTTGTAAATGTGAGAGTTGGCTTCAGTTGTCTGATAGTTAAGATTCTGTTTAAAACTGGTTCAGACTCACCGAGTCTCTTCCAGTTTATTTTTTTCACAGAACAGTTCCGATTCATTTCAACGGCTCTCTCCAACAGACAAAAAAAAAACAGCGCACACTTTCGAACAGATAAGAAAGAACAGTGCGGCTGTGCCCAAGACACAGGCAGCAGGGGGTGGGCTTTGTAGCTTTTCAACCAATCAGGAGTGATTTTTTGTGTTTGAGCCTATCACTGGCTTTTTATGGTTTCAACATATTTGAGTGACAGATCCTTTGTGAAATCATCACAAAATAGGGGAATCTCGACTGAAACCACTGGGTTACATCTTCAAGAATCTGGTTCTGGTCTATAGGGCCTTACATGGACAAGCACCATCATACATTGATTGATGGTTGTGAAGCACCAGGCTAAAGACCAAAGGTGACCGATCATCTGTTGCTGTGGACATGTTGGAGGGACTATGGGTGTTTCTCAATGTCAAGGCACCTTGCCTTGCGAGGTGATGTCTTGCGAGGCCAGGTGCCTTGCTTACAAGGACACTGTCCTTCCTTGGTCAAAGAAAACGGTTAAATGGAACAGACTTGCATCACGTGACCGCGGCTTCCACGGCGGTCAAGTAACGTCACGTGACACGGGAGATAATGTTATATTTTATATGTATTAGTTTCAATACAAATATATAATGAGCCTTTTACTTTTTAAATTGTGTATGTTTATTAAATTTAAAACATAAGCGAGTTACTACCTGCTAGCCCCTGAAGCTGCAACGACTAAGCAGCTAACCAACAATAGATGACTTCTTTGGATCTAAAAAAAACATTTAAAATTTGCTGACTTACTTTTAAACTTGAAAATTGTCCCCGAAGTAGCTGCCGGCTTCTGATCCACCGTCTTTGAAATTACCGCAGTGTATTTTGGATTATTTTTGACCAAGGCTAGGCTACAAGACACCTCCCGTGTGTCCTTGCTCAGCTAGCTAAACGGCTAACAAACGGAGAACACACGCCTCGCTAGAACATGAACATTGGAATCGACTGGAATACGTCTTGGCAGCTCCTGATGACGTATCTCCTAGGCAACCGGGGCAGGGCCAAGACATCAAGGAAAGGTTCCTTGACATTGAGAAACACTATGTCTCTCACCTGGCCAGGGAACGCCTTGGGATTTCCCTGGAAGTGCTGGCCCAAGTGACTGGTGAGAGGGAAATCTGGGCTTCTAAACTTAGGCTACTGCTCCCGCGACACAACTCCGGATAAGCAGATGAAAATAGATGAATGGATGAGAACACAACATGACATGAGAATAATACTCGTACACAGCGTGTTTGAGCTCTGTTTGTTGGCTACAGAAGCACATTTATAAACAGAAAGGTGAAGTTGCCATCTTAAAAAAACAGAAGGTGTGATATGCTTGTCAGCCACTAGATGGTGCCATTGGATAAGAGAAATACTCCGGAAAGAAGCTTTAATGTAATTATTGTCCCAACCACAGTGATTGGAGGTGCACTGCAACCCCCAACCCCCCAACCCGGTCTCACAGCACTCGGGGGCAAGCTGCTCGTGTGTTTAACGCACCGCACGCGCACATTTTGCTGCTTTTAGCGGCTCAGGAGCCTGCAGGTACGGTGTATGTCACTCATTCTGGTTAATCCAACAGGGAGCCGGCTCTTGGAGCTTAATCTTTTGCGACCGACACATCACTACATCATTCCCTTAATGTCTTGAAGGAGGGTCCGGAGCACAGGCTGAGTGTTTTGCTAACCTGCAGGAATTGTCGATGGGAGTTATCCAGAAAGTTGCCAAGGGTTACCAGAAAGGTTACTAGGTTGTTCGCTAGGTACTTTTAAGATTTAAAAAGTCAAGAGGGTCTGAAAAGCTGTTGGAAATAGCGACAAAGTTGCCAAGTTGGCAACACTGTGGTAGGAGCACTTGATTTGCAACTCGTAGCAGCAGAAGAGGGAGGAGCAAATAATCGGCTCTTTTTGTTTTGGTAATTGTTCAAAACTCAGATTGTAATTGAGATTAAAATTCGATTAATTGAGCAGCCCTAGCTGAAACTTGTCTTCAACTGTCCAATTTTGGTGAGCTGGTGCAAAATGTAGCATCATTTTCCTATTTGTAGTGGAGATGAGTGGTACCGGTGGGGTCTTCTGCTGTTGCGGCCCATTCGCCTCAAGGTTGTGCTTGTTGTGGCTTCACAAATGCTTTGCTGCATTCCTCGGCTGAAACGAGTGGTTATTTCAGTCAGAGTTGCTCTTCTATCAGCTTGAATCAGTCGGCCCATTCTCCTCTGACCTCTAGCATCAACAAGGCATTTTCACCCACAGGACTGCTGCATACTGGATGTTTTTCCCTTTTCACACCATTCTTTGTAAACCCTAGAAATGGTTGTGTGTGAAAATCCCAGTAACTGAGCAGATTGTGCAATACTCAGACCGGCCCGTCTGGCACCAACAACCATGCCACGCTCAAAATAGCTTAAATCACCTTTCTTTCCCATTCTGACATTCAGTTTGGAGTTCAGGAGATTGTCTTGACCAGGACCACAACCCTAAATGCACTGAAGCAACTGCCATGCTTTAATCTTTCTTTAATATATATATAATAAAAAAAACATTTGAAGTTTTACAAGTAAACACAAGTAAACACACAACTTATACAATGTGATTGGCTGATTAGATAATTGCATTAAGGAGAAGTTGAACAGGTCTTCCTTATAGTCCTTTAGGTGAGTGTATATATATATATATATATATATATATATATATATGCATATATATTTATATACAGTTGTGGTCAGAAGTTTACATACACTTGTAAAAAATATAATATAATGGCTCTACTGAGTGTCCCGTTATTTCTAAAACTCTGATTTTTCTCTGATAGAGTGATTGGAACAGATACTTCTTTGTCACAAAAAACATTCATGAAGTTTGGTTCTTTAATGTCTTTATTATGGGTTAACAGAGAAAAGTGATCACATTTGCTGGGTCACAAATATACATACAGCAGTGCTAAAGTTTGGTTACATGTCTCTTAGCCATTTTCACTTCAATTAGGCGCTTTTGGTAGCCATCCACAAGCTTCTGGCAAGCTTCTGGTTGAATCTTTGACCACTCCTCTTGACAGAATTGGTGAAGTTCAGTTAAATTTGATGGCTTTCTGACATGGACTTGTTTCTTCAGCACTGTCCACATGTTTTCAATGGGGTTTAAGTCAGGACTTTGGGAAGACTATTCTAAAACCCTTATTCTAGCCTGATTTAGCCATTCCTTTACCACTTTTGATGTGTGTTTGGGGTCATTGTCCTGTTGGAACACCCAACTGCGCCCAAGACCCAACCTTCGTACTGATGATTTGAGGTTATGTTGAAGAATGTGAAGGTAATCCTCCTTCTTCATTATCCCATTTACTCTCTGTAAAGCACCAGTTCCATTGGCAGCAAAACAGCCCCACAGCATAATATTCCCACCACCATGCTTGACTGTAGGCATGGTGTTCTTGGGGTTAAAGGCCTCACCTTTTCTCCTCCAAACATATTGCTGGGCATTGTGGCCAAAAAGCTCGATTTTTGTTTCATCTGACCACAGAACTTTCCTCCAGAAGGTCTTATCTTTGTCCATGTGATCAGCAGCAAACTTCAGTTGAGCCTTAAGGTGCCGCTTTGGGAGCAAGGGCTTCCTTCTTGCACGGCAGCCTCTCAGTCCATGGAGATGCAAAACACGTTTGACTGTGGACAATGACACCTGTGTTCCAGCAGCTTCTAATTCTTGGCAGATCTGCTTTTTGGTGATTCTTGGTTCACTCTTTACCCTCCTGACCAATTTTCTCTCAGCAGCAGGTCATAGCTTGCGTTTTCTTCCTGATCTTGGCAGTGATGAAACAGTGCCATGCACCTTATACTTACAAACAATTGTTTGCACTGTTGCTCTTGGGACCTGCAGCTGCTTTGAAATGGCCCCAAGTGACTTTCCTGACTTGTTCAAGTCAATAATTCACTTTTTCACATCCATGCTGAGCTCCTTTGACTTTCCCATTGTAGCGTTTGTGGGCGTTTGTATCCAATGAGCCCTATTTACCTGGCCTAAGAGAAGTCACCAGCTGTAGTCACTCATAATCACTCACAAGAAGTTAAGAGGCCATGCTATGAAGCTCAGTTCACTGACACGTTTCTAAGTCACCAAAGTTGCTAGTTCATGTTGCTGTATGTATATTTGTGACCCAGCAAATGTGATCACTTTTCTCTGTTAACCCATAATAAAGACATTAAAGAACCGAACTTCATGAATGTTTTTTGTGACAAAGAAGTATCTGTTCCAATCACTCTATCAGAGAAAAATCAGAGTTTTATAAATAACAGGACACTCAGTAGAGCCATTATATTATATTTTTTACAAGTGTATGTAAACTTCTGACCACAACTGTATATATATATATATATAAATAAGTTACTGAAAGAGTTAGAAAAAGGAAATAGTAAAATGGGGAACCGAAGGAACATCATGTAAATTTTGCTGCTATCATTTTAACACAGACTGCTGTGATTCTCTTTCTAGTGTTCGACTATGCCTACAGAGACTACATCCTGTCCTGGTATGCTCCTCTGAGTCGTGATGAAGGCCAGCTTTACTCCATGCTGCTGGAAGACTGGTGGCAGATGATTGACCAGCTCAAATCCAGACTGGCTGACATTGACCTAGTCAATGTAGTGTGTAACGACAGCATCCGCATCCTTCATTCACACTTCACTGACCTCAAGGCTGCATCTGCAAGGTACTCAGATGCACTTTAAGATGCTTGTCGTTTATTTTGTTTGCTTTTCTGTCTGTGACTGGTGGCCGGGCTTTCACCCATGAAGCACTATGTAGATATCAATGGACATATCCCTCCCATTTCTCTAATAATGTAAAAAATGCCACAATATAGGAGGTTCTTACCACTGCCATCTTGGCCGTGTCAGACGTCTTGTTATGCCCAGACAATCCAAAAATGGAAAAAGAGGTGGAGCTGAGAGTGGAGCTTGTGAGGGTAGGAGCAAATGCTTGATACCCATAAACTGAATCAATGTAGCTACCAAAAAGCTCACCAAAGCTACATGGAGCTTGGAGCCAGGTAGCTACCCAAAAGCTAACGGAGGTTTTTGGGTGCTTTTATCAGATAACTGCGGTGTAGCAACTCAAAAGTGAAGCATGCTCGGAAGTGCCCTGGGAGAGGGCAGCAACTGGCCGGCTGCGACTAGCAACTGTTCCCGGTCAGCAGATGGGAGAAGCTGGGAGCTCGCTCGCTTTGCTATGTCAGTCAGGCTGGAGCGGCAGATTCACAGATATCTGATCGCAGGGTCACCGCTGCCAAAGGGAGAGAAACCAAAACTTGTTAAACTTCCCTTCTGCAGCGGCAACCTCGCAAATCATTCACAGTGGTGGCAGCAAAGTCCCGAAGTCTCTGCTTGCTTTGGTCAGCTTACCTAGCTCCAGTTTCTTTACCCAATTAGCCCTACTACTCTTAACATCCACACACAAACACAGAGGACACAGCTAAAGTTCAGAGAGTCGAAATGGCCTCTGTCAGACCGCCCCAGGGCGGCTGTGGCTACAAGTAGCTTACCATCACTAGCAGTGTGTGAATGTGAGAGTGTGTGAAAGCGTCTTTGGGGGTCTTGAAAAGCGCTATATAAGTTCAGTGCATTATTATTATTATTATTATTATTATTATTATTGTTATTATTATTATTATTGTTATTATTATTATCTATTAATGTGAGTCCCTGGCTGAGGCCCTTCCTGGAGCTAGCCGCTAGCACTAGCTCTGACGCTCATGCTATTGCCATCCATCGATCCATCCATCCATCCATCGATCGATCCATCGATCCATCCATCCATCCATCCATTGATTCATTCATTCTGCTTATTCGGAGTCAGGTCATGGGGTCGGCAGCCTAAGTTGAGAGGCCCAGACTTCTCTCTCCCCAGCCACTTGGGACAGCTCTTCCAGGGGAATCCCAAGGTGTTCCCTCTCTAGGTGAGAGAGGTGGTTCCTCCAACGTGTCCTGTGTCTCCCTTTAGGCCTCCTCCTGGTTGGACGTGCCCAGAAAACCTCACCAGGGAGGTGTCCTGAAGGCATCCTAACTAGATACCTTAGCCACCTCAACTGGCTTCTCTAAATCTGGAGGAGCAGTGGGTCTACTCCGAGCCTCTCCCGGACCAAGCTTCTCACCCTATCTTTAAGGGAGAGCCCAGCCACCCTGTGGAGAAAACTCATTTCAGTTGCTTGTATCCGAGATCGCGTTCTTTCGGTCACTGTCCAAAGCTCGTGACCATAGGTGAGGATAGGAACGTAGATCGACCGGTAAATCAAGAGCTTTGCCTTCTGGCTCAGCTCTCTCTTGACCACGACAGACCGGTACATCGCCCGCATCACTGCAGACGCAGTACCAATCCGCCTATCAATGTCGCACTTCAGCTTTCCCTCACTTGTGAACAGTGAGCGAGTGTTCACGAGTGAGCTCACGCTACTTTCATCCATCCATCCATTTTCAACCGCTTATCCAGAGTCGGGTCGCGGGGACAGCAGCCTAAGCCGAGAGGCCCAGACTTCTCTCTCCCCAGCCACTTGGGCCAGCTCCTCCGTGGGAATCCCAAGGCGTTCCCTCGCTAGCTGAGAGACATAGTCTCTTCAGTGTGTCCTGGGTCTTCCCTTGTGTTCTCTCATGCTACCTGTCAATCAAATCTGATTATCCACAATTTAAAGCATTTAATTATACCTAAATGGAAGAGTTACAAAAACTTCACCCCCATGACAGTTATCATGACTGAAAACTAGATGTATTAAACCTAAAATGTTTCTTCAAACCAGGCTGTAAACATGTTCATATCTGCTGTGAAGCTGGCATTTTTAACACGGGAGTCGATGAGGATTTGCTCGCTTCTGGTGTCAGCCCCTAGTGGATGAGGGTGTAACTACAATTATTGTCCTTTCCATGTTAGGAGCATAGTTAGATCTGTGTGGTGCTCCCTTGGATGGAACAGACACTTATCAGTCATGCCCTGGTCATAGTGTTCTCTTTTTTTATGTCTTCACACAGACCTGAGGAGGTTGCTCGGCCGTTTCCCCTCCATCCCTGTTTGGTCAGTCCAGACTCTGAGATGGCCTTCCTTCGCTGTGTAGCCAGAATCCTGCTGCTGTGTCTACTGCCACAAAAAGACACCAAATCCCACACACTACGCTGCTGCCTCACAGAAGTAATCTCAACCAAAGGTACCGAGACATGCCTGGGAGGGTGCCCGATCCTGGTCCCGGAGGGCTTGTATCCAGCAGATTTTAGTTGTTTCCCTGCTGCAGCACACCCCCTGATCAGTGTTGCAGCTAAAAAGTCAGAACACTGTCAGGAACTGAGTCTTGCTGTTTCCAGTATGAATTGATTCAAGTACAAAGGAACTAGTTTTCATTTTTTGTAGTATTTATAACAGCATCCAGTGAAGCATCCAATTACTATTATAACTTTTCAGAAACCTTCAAGTTAATGCAAAAATTTTAAAACCGGATACTTTGGATTATTCAGAAAGATGTTTCCAGCCAGTGAATGGGAACAGCAACAGAGCTGCAAAAGTCTTTGACAAAATGCGATGCGTGTGGTTCTCAAAAAACGTGGACAAGGTTGGCAGGTCGGTTATAGGATACAGCCAGCATAAAGATAACAGACTATTAACATGCACCAAAATGTCTAATGGTTGCAACCCTAGGGGTGTGTCCATTTGATTGACAGCTAGCAGATCAGCTGTCAGGGCTAGCGCTAGCGGCTTAACCCCTGCTTGCTCCAGGCAAGACCTCACCCTCTTCCTAACAGTAAAAATGTTACAGCCTGGAAGGCAGGTGGTAGCAGAGTCATTTAAGTACAGTTTTCCAGGCTGAAAATGCTCACCAACCTCTGTTGGCTTTGGTTAGCTTGGTTAGCACATCGACTACAAACGGCTTCGAATTTGTTGATGAATTTGAATAAAATAAAGTAGACTTTATTTTTCCCACAGTGGGGAAATTCACTTGCTACAACAGCACATATGCTTAGAGAAAAGGAAGAAGAAAAATAACATGATTACATGTAAACACACAAAAGCTGTGAGCTCTTTTTGTAACCTTCAACCACTAAAAATAACAAATAAAAAGAAAACTTGTGTTTCCAGAACTATGCAGCATAAGGGACACTGACATACTATAGAAATCTTGTATTGCACAATATTGAAACATACTGAGCGTTGCATTAAAATTACTGTGTACCGGGATAATGCCAGTACCAGTACTAGCGCAAGGACAGGTGCTGACAGCGAGACCGGCTAATGTAGAAGACCCGGCCGGTAATTGAGTGAGTGAGTGAGTGAGTGAGTGAGTCGTTTTAGCATCATGCATTTCAGAGAATCAATTTCCAATCTTTGCAGCCTAACCCACACAAATCATATAAGTACTTGACCAATTAAAAGAAGCATTTTTAATTATGAATGTTACACCAACCTACTAGTCCTGAAGATGCTAAGATAGATCTGTCAGACCTTGAAGCTGTCACCGATTCACACCTGAAGGAGGGGTGACGTCAGCTGGGAGGTCCGGTGTCACGTTGATCTGGGAGCAGTGTTGTAAAGAAGCTAGCTGCCACTTAGCTCCCAGCTATTGGAAATGGAGTGATCACTGGCTGCTTATTAGCCATGGCTAGCGAACGAGGGTTGGCTAGAGCCGGGGAAACACTGTGGAGATCAAGTAAACAATTCTGACTTAGCCAAAATTTCAAGCTGAGAGGAATATTTAGTATTGATGTTGTTGAGCAACATTAATGAAGAATGACGAGTTTGTGAACTGGATACACAGAATTTGATAGTAAACAGGTAAACATATTACACGCTAGGGCATTAAGAGTCTAAAATAATGTAAAGTGACTAACAAAAAAAAGACGTCACTCTATTTGGGACATCTTTTTGGAATAAAAACCATTTAACCTTTTTCTTACAAACAGACTGACAACTCCTGACTTCACTTGGCAAATCATTAAAAGGTGTTGGGTACCACCCACTGGGCTTTAATTCAGCTCTTCAGAAACCTACGGGTGATGTGATGGCGAGCTTGTCGTTTTTGTAAAGAGTCATTGGTTCAAATCTGTTGATAACCCACCCCAAATTAGTCTGGTGGTTCAGTTTGTGACTGAATGGTTTTCAAGTTTATTCAAACCCCAGTTGTGTTATTCTGCTGTATCTGGTCCTCCATCTTCTTCAGTTTTGCATAATATGACCTTTTTAAAATGATCACCATGGCAACAGATAATGAAACATCACCTTTTTAGAGAAAATTTCTAAAAAATAAAAATGTTAAATGCAGACTGTGATCAGAGATGAGATGGTTGTTGTTGTTTGTGTGTGTGCGTATGTGTGTGTGTTCGTTCTTGTACACACTGAGGACCATTTTGACCGTTTTCCTACAAAGTGAGGAAATTTTTATGTGTCCTCACTTTTTAGGAGCTTACCAGAAGCTTGATATACCAGTTAGAAGTATGGTGTGAATTAAGTTTTAGTTAAAGGAGACATAACATGCTTTTAAGTTATTCCTTTTTACATCTAAGTCATTCAGTTGGGGTCTAAATACGGTGGAACTGCAGTTCTTTTGTCTGATTTCCTCATTATTGTGGCTCTATAAACCCCTCATCTACCCCTGTTCTGAAGAGTCTGAGAATGAGCCATTTTTGGGTACTGGCTCTTTAAATCTGGAGGAGCTGCAAACTCCGCCCCCCTCCACAGCGCAGACCTACTCTCCTCCTACAGCCGGACTTTGTAGTTCTATAGAGAAATCATTATGTAGCGTAGCAGAAACTAGGGATGCACCGATACGATACTGGTATCAGTATCGGCACCGATACCAATACCAATATCGGTATCGGTAAAAGTTAACCGATACCAGGAACCGATACCAATGCAGTTGCTTGAAAATGGCTTCACTGTAACCTGTCATTTCTGTTCACCTAATATTTTAGTTTTGTGATGATTTCCATTCATATATTTTACTTTTTATCTACTTCACAGTCTTTTCCTGTTGAAAGCAGAGAAGAAAATTGAATCTGTATTCCAAATCATTGCTTTTTTTGTGTGGTGGAAGTATCGGTATTGGTAATCGGTATCGGTGAATACTCAGATCCAAGTATCTGTATCGTATCGGTTTGGGAAAAAGTGGTATCGTTGCATCCCTAGCAGAAACGTTATATTAGCATTTTTAAAACATGTCGGGAGAGTTGTCCATCAAGCTTTTTAACCCCCAGAAACCCACATTTAGAAAACAACTGCAAAATCTTTTTTAACCTTTCACATGTTGTTCTAGGAGGCCAGATAAACGGGCCTATTTACACATTTTAACAGCCAGTAGTGTTGCAGAACTGAACAATAGGACCTATTAGCAATGTAAATGTGGTTTTAAAAAGAAAAAAAAAAAGGGGAAGGTTTATTTTTGTAGACTTAAATCTGATGTTGTAATATTACAACCCTGGGCTGCCAACTCTCATGCATTTGTCTGTAGTAGACACACACACACACACACACACACACACACACACACACACACACACACACACACACACACACACACACACACACACACACACACACACACACACACACACACACACACACACACACACACACGTACGTCACGGCCAACGGAGGGACAAGCGAGCAGGCACAAACACACACACACAAGGAATGCTGCTTGCTTATTTCTATTCAAAAATTGTTTTAAAAAAGTGATACAGCTCATTAAAACACCATTAAAAGAATATTTTAGCTCTCTGTGTGTTTATATATATAATTTTATAAGTAATCTTATTTTATATTGGTGTCTTAATGGCTGAAAATGGATAAAAAGCAGTTACATTTTGATTTAAAGGTTTGAGATTCTAGTCACAAATAAAGTACATTTCTCCAAATGTACTTTAATGTGATCATTATAATTCTAATGCATACAACTTTACGTGTTTATTGTCTGCAATGCGTAGCCTATATCTTTATTAAATGAGTGTTTAGCTTTAACCGTGGCAATTCTAACATGTACACAGAGGTTGAAATCACTGCTGCAGTGAAATTCCCAAGATCGGTCTGCTTTGCTAACAAATATAGTTAAATCTTACTTGCATTCTAAATAAATACCGTTAGGTGAAAGCCAGAATGGAAGAAAAGCATGCTGGATCCTCCTGGATCTGAGCCTGTTCTGTGTATTTACCTACAGGATGCAATAAATGTTTACAAGGCTGAGTTTGGACCATTACATCTAAAAGAAAACGTACAATCAGTGATTTTTTTAATTGTTTTTATTAATATACAAATTTTTACAAAGTATTAACCTCACAGCAAACAAGTAGAACAATATAATAAATAGGCTTTAGTAGTTAAACAGGCGTTGTGCACACAGGTGCTTTGTGTCTCGGTGCTGGTGGTATCTAGGTCTCAGAGTTCCTGTCCTCCTGCCATCATCTGTTGTCCTCAGGATACAGCAGGAGTTTCCTGATGATGAGGGAGGGGCAGTATGTGGGCTTCAAACTGGTCCTGGATAACAGTGGGACACCTCCGTTGTCTGAATACTGAGACCAGAGGGTTGGTGGGATGCTGATCTTCTGTACCTCATCTAGAAACGGAGTTGGTTCAGGGAAAACTTTTCCAAAGACCAGTTCCATGATGTCATCGTCATATTCTGCAATGATAGACAATAACTTTAATGACATATTTTGTTTACAAGCAGCTTTAGGAAAATTGGTTCTTTAGCTTTCATGTTTATAGTGATGTTTGTGTTGTTTTGGTTCATCTTTTACTTTGTTTACAAGTTCACTTTGCTGCAGTGACTTCATATTTTCCTACAAATGTAATAAAATAGTGACACTAAAATTAAACAAATGACTCCTTATGAAAGGAAGCTCATTAGAGAGCAGCGCAGACAGACTTACTACATGCTGCAGCTGTTTTTATAGGCCAGCTGCTGCTGAACTTGGGGAAAGTTATTATGTACTCGTCCAAATCAGATGGTTGTTTGCAGAAAAGAATGTAATTCTATCATTTCCAAACAGATTAAACCAGTGAAACATCAAATAAATCACTCTGCTGTCATCAGATGGAGTGATTCAGGGGGTGAGGTGTTCTTAATGATGAGGGTGTCTGAGGTGTAGGGCTAAAGTGTCGTCACTCCCTTTGGTCTGGCCATCTTTATTGGTGGGTCTCCTTCCTCAGTAGGTGACGTGAAGCTCCAACATCTGAGCGTTCTGTGTTGCTCAGAGGAGAAGAAAAGTAACATTAGCAAGCTGGCTAAATTATTTTTTACTAGCATCTCAAGGCCTTGGAGAAGCAGATCTTCACTTACCTAAACATCAGACCAGAGTTTGTCCCAGCTGAGCTCATCAGGGCTTTAGTCTGACAGCCTGTCAGTGAAACACGGCTCCAGACTTCTGGATGTGGACTCTAAAAAGCAAAGGAGCATTTTTACTTTTGTTTTAATTATATTATAGCTGATTTTATCAGCTTTCCGATGCTCACGCTCATACAGACGAGTGTCTGTGAGCTTAGCTGCGTCTGACTGATGCAGAGTTGGTTTTTATATCTGCAGTGAGACAAAAAACTAACTTCACTCAGAGATTGTTCTTTAAAACTCGTATTAAATCCACTGTGTTGACGCACTTTAACGACTTTGTCACGCTGCCTTTTAGCTGATATGGGACTTTATTTACTGGACGCTAAGATGACATCACACTCACATAGAACAACACACAGGCTCTCTGCTGCTACAGTCAGTGGAAGGTTATCATCTGGTTTGAAAAAAGGCGTTGATCAGAGTTTCCAGATCACGTTTTATTCCACGAAAATTGGCCAAATCCACATTAATCTGGGTGCTAACTTTACTAGCATATTGTGCTAGCGTTAGCGGGTCGGATGCTAATGCTATAGCATTGCTAATGCCCGTAAATCTAAAGTAAAGTTTGCCGACATTTTAGAGTGATATGAAGCTTACCGCTTCGCTGCTATGTCCCGTTGCTGCCAAATTCAGATGGAAATGACTCATTTTAGACGAAGCACTCTGTACTAGCCACTAGCCTGGGAGACACGAACACACACACACACACAGAAACACACTACTTTTTTCTTCAGTTTTTTTAGCAGTAGTATCAGCTTCTGGGTTTTAAATACTGCTACACCACCCTTCCTTAAAACAAGGAACAGTTTTGAACTGTGTGTGGCTAAAATAACCCGACATTCTGCATTTTTCAAAATGGACTACAAAAATCTTAGCGGATTCGCTCTGTGTTTAGCCGGAGGGCCATGACCATATTTGGTAGTTCTCGTGATGACATAAATTTCAGATGTATTAGGTATTTTGAAAAACTGAACGGGTGGACAAATATGCCCAAAACTTAATTATTAAACATCTAAATAGCAACTCTAGTGAATAATATTTATTTTTGCTCACTTAGACACTTAAAATGTGAAACACACTGTGTTAATGGATAAAAAAGTGGGTTTTTCATGTTATGTCTCCTTTAAGGTAAGGGTTAGGGTATGGTTTAGGCATAGTAGTGGAATCACAAAATTGAATGGAAGTCAATGGAGTATCCTGAAAAACAGACACGTGTGTGTGTGTGTGTGTGTGTGTGTGTGTGTGTGTGTGTGTGTGTGTGTGTGCGTGCATGCGCTCTTGAATTTGTACACATGTGTGTGTGTGCGCTCTCCCTCCAGTGCTGAAGCCTTTGGTAGAGCTGCTCAGCGATCCAGACTCCATCAACAGGATGCTGCTGATTCAGCTTGAGCAGAGGGAGCAGCAAGCCGAGCAGCAGAAGAAGGCGTACACCTACACTGCCTCTTATGAAGACTTCATCAAACTGATATCAACTTCTACAGATATCAACTTCCTCAAACAACTCAGGCATGGCAGCAAGCACACACACACACACACACACACACACACACACACACACACACACACACACACACACACACACACACACACACACACACACACACACACACACACACACACACACACACACACACACACACAGACGCACACATAGACGCACCTCATTAAACTGAGGATGTTCAGTACCTGCACAGGTCTTTGTTTAAACACACCAGTGTGGTAAATGTGTCTTTTGTGGCATTTGTAAACAAACATTGCTCATAACTGAGATTATTTTTGCTCTTGCAGTTTAGGGTTGTCATAGGAACAGAGTGACTCCGCAGCAATATTCTCCATCTAAATGGGGGTAGACATCATACTGTTTTGTAGCCTCATTAGTCTGAGATACAACAGCTATGAGCTGACTTATTACTAACATATGTCACTTGTGTGTTTTCACAAAGATTTTTTACATCTGATGCCCTTCGGTTGTCTGTGTTCATCCTAGACAGCCTGTAATGATTTTCTCTCTTTGTTGTAACAGCTGAAGCCTTTTCTTCTTTCCAGGTATCAGATTGTGGTAGAAATTATTCACACCACCACCATCAGCAGCCTGCCTCAGCTCAAAAAGCAGAAAG